ATTTTAATAAAAGTTTATAAAGAACTTGGGTTTCAAATCATTCATTGTTTCACAATTTCTTGTCTGCTCCTCTTCACTCCAAGATAGCTTTTTCTTGGGGGAAAAAGATCTTTCATTGTTATGCAGTCCCCCAAGCCCACCCCAGACCACTCTACTATGAAGCTCTTATTCTAGACTCTCATCATGCCAATAATACCTAATCATATATTCCCTTTATAAAGTTCTCTCCCTTAACTTTTTAAATCTGTATGCAGAACAGATCATCTGAGACGCTGGTCTGTAAGAGAAGGAATGTGGCATCAGGACTGGAGAAAGATTTATCAACAACTTGTGTTATCCACGTGACACAAGGTCAAGGACTGTAGCCTCAATGGATTGAAGCTCAACATCAAGAAAACAAAGATTCTCACCACTGGGTCAAATAGCAGTATCATTATGGATGGTGGAGATGAGATATTGTTAACAGTTTTAGTTTGCTTGGCTCCACAAGCAACATTCTTGGTACCAGCAGCCAGGAAATCAAGAGATTAATTGCATTGGGAAAGTCAGATTTCAGGGCCCTCTCCACAGTACTGAAGAAGAGCAATGATGTCAGGCTGGAGACTAAGGTGCACCTGATCCAGGTCATAATTTTTGCAATTACATGTTATGCATGGGAGAGTTGGACAGTCACTAGGGATGATAAAAAGAGAATTGATGCCTTTGAGCGGTGGTGCTGGAGAAAGTGTTGAGTATATCATGGAGTACTGAGAGAACAAACAGGTTCGTGCTTGAGAGGGTGTAACGGGCTGTTTCTTGGAGGCAAGCATTCTGCAGCTTTATCTGACATACTTTAGCATGTTGCAAGGAGCGACCAGTCGTTGCAGAGGGACATTATGTTTGAGAGGGTAGAGGGACAGCGTAAAGAGGAAGACCCTCGATGAGATGGATTGATTCTGTGATTGGGGTAATGGGAGTAAGTGTGTCTGAGACAGTGAGGTTGGCACAGAGTAGAGCAGGGTTTAGGGCTCTTGTACATAGGGTTGCTATGAGTCTCAAGCAACTCGGCAGCACATAACAACAACAACAATAATGACTTTTGAGTACAGTTATATGTGAACTAAAAATGTGCTCCTTAAAAATGCATGCTTTATGTTCTGTATGCTTGTTTGATAATATATCTACATATTTGATAAATCTGTTGCACAGCCAATTCAGAGATACTGGGTTCAAATGCACCAGCCACTCTCTGAGAAAAAGATGGGCAATCAATTCCAGTGAGATATACTACCTCTGAAAA